TGAGCAATCCTTGAAAGGGTTCATAACCACATGTACACCTGTTGCCCAGTGTACGGCATTTAGCAATATACAGCTAATGAACCGGCCCCTGTTTCTCTTCCTCCGCCATGTTTGTCCCACGTCGACGCAATGTCACGCCCCAGGCCGTCGATTCACGTCGGTTTCGGTATCGTAGTGCAACCAGCTCAGTAAGCACACTATTTTGTGGCTTGAGTTGCTGCAACTGGTAACATTTGTGACGGAAACAAAGCTGCAACTGGTAGGACAGAAAGCACCTCTATTCACAGTAACCAGCGACCGCCTCCGTGGTCTAGTGGTAGAGCGTCCACCCGGAGAGCGGAAGGTCCGGGGTTCGATCTTCAACCGCGTCATACCAAAAGACGTTAAAAGATGGTACTTGTTGTTACCCTGTCTGGCGCTCGGCATTTAGGGGCTAAACCAAGGACTGGTCGGCTCGGAGTCAGTATACTGTGTCTGAGTGGGGTATTCATGTTAAAGCTGCGGCATGGTATCTCAGTGAGCTAGCACCATAAATCGGCATCAGTCCGGACTAGTACAAGCAGCCACACAAACACAAACACGTACATGCACGTCGCTATATAAGTGCAATAATCTTGGACGCGATGTTAAACCCCATTTCAACTCACCTTACAGTAACCAGTGACAAGGAACTTCGGCTGTGTTTACACGCGTTAGCTCCGCCCTACAAAGCACTTGTGGAATGTTTCGAGTCACATGATTTCAATGAGGCAAATTAATATAAAAACTAAAATTTAAATCCTAGTTATTGCTGCATGGGATTAAGGATAACCACACACTGATGGGATGATGAAATGTGACCTATTTAATTCATAATATTATGTTTAAAACGTAAATATGTATCTAAACGTAAGGTGGCAGGCAATCAAATGGAACAGTCCGTCGGTAAGCCCTTCAATTTACGCCACAGGTCATTTTAGTTTTGATTTTGAACCCAGCTCCAAGAAAACACAACTCTTAATTCGGCATCTTAGAACAGTAAAACAGTTTTATCTAACCCCATGAAAGCGTCCTCGTGCTTCAACTATTCTGAACCGCAAAAGAAACGACACCATGGATAGATATGTTATGAAATGGAATGTTATCCGATCTGGGTGGATTTTTATAGGGCAAGAAATGGGGGAATGCATGTGCATTTCAATTTGCACGGAACTCACGTGCATCGAGTTACCATGGCCGTTTGGTATATCAGTTATATTGTCATCTGTTTTAATTTTTTTATCATCAAATTCTATTTTTTCCGTACAAGGTAATGTTAAATTTTAGAAACTTTAACAAAATATACCCAGATATTTAAATGACAACTTTTCATACAATGTAACTTGGGGTGACGTTTCTTTCGCGGTTCAGTATATAATACTTCAGGGAAAAACTTTACTTAATTCTACCACGAACATGGAAAATACTCAATTTTGATGGTCAATCAAAGGTTATCAAAGCACAATAAACCCCTTCCGATTGAAGCATTTGATTTGACGTCCGCATCACCTTGAAAGCTATTATTTATAGAAAAGTAGCTCTTTTACAATTATTGTCGGTAGGTACATTTAAATAATTATATGTACAATTATAGGCAACTAAATGTAGAGTTTGGGTCACTACAATAGTTCGAGGGATGTGCGGGGACACGGGTGGCCTAGTCGTCTAAGGCGAAGCGATTCGCTGTGCAGAGTTGCGTCCCTTGGGCACGCAAGAAACCTATGATAGTGGGTTCGAATCCCGGTTTGCCGCGATTATGGTTCTAGGTTTGTCAGCACCATACCCGTGCTCGTGGGTTTCAACGAAGTGGTAAACGTCTGAGACCTGCATCTCTTAGGACTTTCCTCCCTCATTAAGCTGACACGCCGTGATATAACCGGAATACTGTTAAAAGCGGCGTTAAACCCAACTCACTCACTCACTCACTCAAGGGATGTGCGGTAATTCTTGATGGAAACCAACAAAGAGTATTTCAAATGTGTTTCAAGAGCTTGCCATTTGGCGCTTTTCAATATACGACTGTATGGGGTACCCACCTCATGTTAGCTTACGAAGTTGCCTTGCTACATGCTTTCAGTGCCTGCTACATGCTTTCAGTGCCTGCTACATGCTTTCAGTGCCTGCTATACACGCTTTCAGTGCCTGTCATAAGTTTGAGTGAAGTATTACCGTGCCGTGTAAACAAACTGCTTGAGCAAATAGAACGCCATATTGTGTTTAAAGACTGTATATTCTGATCGACAAAACCCATTGGATTCAACGCACGCTTCACTAAATGTATTTGCTAACACCAAAGAGTTCGCGTTTTATTTAAAGTACACATGGGGTAAACAAACTTTATTTCTTAACTCTACTGGGTGTTGGTTGAAATACATAAAGTTGATATACTACCTTAGTTTGACAGTGAAAGGTATTTGTTTCAGTGTCTGGACATGAATGATCACTGACATATCACTTCTTTGGCATAATGATGTTCGTTTCTTGACAATGTCATCTGAGCAAGGTCAAACTGTCGTTCATTTCATTTGAGTTAATTAAATGATTTTGTTGGAAAAATAGTCTGGTGAAAGTCGTAATATGTTGTGGCATCGTAAATTGTCCCTTTAACAAAATATCTCCGAAATGTATCACAAAGTCATTGAGCAAGTTCCAATTTTAAGATACAACCGCTTCATTATTTAATAATACGTTGTCGCATTGTAGCCCTTTGGTGAAAATCAAAACAATTATTAAAAGCGGCGACAACGCGACAACGCAACCACGCTACTTGGTCAACTGGGGCACGTTCTGTTTGTTTCTGTTAGGGCGACAATGTCCCTTCTAAGCCTCCTTACAAAACAGCAACACGACTACTTTAGCACACTGAAGATGTTGTTCAGATTCCACACACCCTGGTTTCAGCAAAGATATCAGTAAACCACACTGATATGCCTTCTATTGAACTTGACCACAGAACACTGATACTGAGATAGTGAACTTTGGCGGGACATCTCCATGTGTGAGTGTGTGTGTGAGTGTGTGTGAGAGTGTGTGTGTGTGTGTGTGTGTGTGTGTGTGTGTGTGGAGAACAGATCTCAGCAAAGAGTTTCCAAAGACAGAAAATAAAATAGGCCTATGATTTCTTTAATAAACTTTTCAAATCAACCATAATTGTAAACAAAACACAAACGGAACATCCTGGATCTGCCTCTGCACCGATTAATAAACATAACCCCCTTTACAGCCTACAGTGAATATAGTGAATATAGTGAATACAGTGAATACAATGAATATATAGTGAATACAGTGAATATAGTGAATACAATGGATATAGTGAATATAGTGAATATGGTGAATACAATGGATATAGTGAATACAGTGAATGCAGTGAATACAATGGATATAGTGAATACAATGGATATAGTGAATATAGTGAATACAATGGATATAGTGAATACAGTGAATATGGTGAATACAATGGATATAGTGAATACAGTGAATGCAGTGAATACAATGGATATAGTGAATACAATGGATATAGTGAATATAGTGAATACAATGGATATACACATGTAGTGAAAACAGTGAATATAGTGAATAAAGTGAATATAATGAATACAGTGACTAAAGTGAATATACTGAATACAGTAAATACAGTGCATACTTGCTACTTTCGACTGGGGCCGGTCGGGTAGCCTAGTGGTTAAAGCGTTCGCTCGTCACGCCGAAGACCCGGGTTCGATTCCCGACATGGGTACAATGTGTGAAGCCCATTTCTTGTGTCCCCCGCCGTGATATTGCTGCAATATTGCTAAAAGCGGCGTTAAACCATACTCACTCACTACTTTCGACTGTCTAACTTTTTGAACTACGCATAGTGGTATACTACATGGAGGAGTAACGTTACTACGATAATACCACTTTAAGAAACTGTTGAAGAAACGAAGAAACCCCTAAAGAAATAGGTACCTTAGCCTGAAGAATAAGCTCTCTCGGTAATCCGCCCTTAAAATACGCTCTTATAGGCTGTTATATTGCACCTACATTAACAGCCAATAACGGATATACTTAGATTAAAGGTTATTAAAGATTAGATATATCTCTCTCTCTCTCTCTCTCTCTCTCTCTCTCTCTCTCTCTCTCTCTCTCTCTCTCTCTCTCTCTCTCTCTCTCTCTCTCTCTCTCTCTCTCTCTCTCTCTCTGCTAGGATCGCCCAAACACCCTTGCTGCGTTTTTATTTTTATTTTATTTTAATGTGTATATTATAGTATTAATGAAGTCTTTGAAAGGCATTAATAAGTGATACACACGAGGAAGAGAATTTATGGATGTCAACTTCTTTATTGCGTCCTGGTCTCAACTAAGTGTGGGAGGAAAGTTGAAAGTGACTCAGCTCAGAGATCTTTGCTATAAACACTACAAATAGGTAAGATACATACATATATATAAACAAATACAAATTGAATTCATGAAAATGAATGAAAAGCTTATAAAGTTCAGGAGTACTCTGATGTGAATATATAACGTCATTGTGATAATCCTCGATTATTCAATGTATCATAATTTCCATTCCAGTATGGTAATTCCACGGGCTAACTCGTTTACAGATATAATTGAAACGACCGTCCAAGTATGGAACAGTCATGAGCGAGAGGCATTCTGTGGGACTTTACAGAATAGAGATTAAAGCAGCAAATATAATCTATTTCGGCGAAAAATCGAGACTGGTTATTCCCTGGCGTTGACGACCGCCTCCGTGGTCTAGTGGTAGAGCGTCCGCCCGGAGAGCGGAAGGTCCGGGGTTCCATCCCCAACCGCGTCATACCAAAAGACGTTAAAAGATGGTACATGTTGTTACCCTGTCTGGCGCTCGGCACTAAGGGGATAAAACAAGGGCTGTCGGCTCGGAGTCAGTATACTGTGTCTGAGTGGGGTATTCATGTTAAACTGCGGCATGGTATCTCAGTGAGCTAGCACTATACATCGGCATCAGTCCGGACTAGTACAAGCAGCCACCCAAACACACACATACATGCACGTCGCTATATAAGTGCAATAATCTTGCGACGTTAAACCCCATTTCACCTCACCTCACCTCACCTCACCTGGCGTTGACGTTTTACATTCAATTATAATAGGATGGAGGTATTGATAGTCAAGTAAATATAGAAGCGGGGTGTTGTCATAAACATTAATCTTTGAAGATACGACAACGTCATCAAAGATTGCTTTGCGACAATTAGAAGCATAGTTTCAATTTGTACAACTGCTACACCGACAGCCTCCTTCTTCTACATGATGTCGTGTCTGTTGGCCTTTTCACCAGAAGTCGCAGACGATTAAAGAAGGCCTGTCTGGTATGACTCTCTTCTCCCCATTCCAGGTAGGTTGTCGTCTGCAGCATTGCTCTCAGCGACTTGGTCACGTGACACGGGTCTATGTCTTCAAGCATCACCACCACCAGGAGGCGCTGACCATATGCTATCACATGCCGTTGAATTAAATTCAACTCAAACTGGCACCAGTCACTTTTAAGAAAGTTATTCGACAGAACAATGATCATCTTCCGGCTGTTCTCAACACTATGAACTATGTTGTCGATTATCATTCTGCCCACTTCAAAGTCTCGGCTATGGATGCATAATTTGAGTCCATCGGATCCTTCCAATACAGGCATCAGGTGCTGCCTCACCCAGGCCAGGTCGTCGATGTAGTACGCTACGAAGACGTCGTACAGAAACTCTCGTCTGTCTACCACCTCCCGTTCCCTATGTTTCATCATGAACACCAGATACATCAAGTTCCACCCATAGTGGTAGAGGAGAGACAGGGTTACCAGGAGAGTGATGAGGACCACAAGGAGGATCATCAGGACGTTCCAGCTCAACAGACACTTCTCTTCGGATATCCGAACATCTAGGAGGTGGGTGCCATGCAGGTCTCTGGGACTATTACAAATATAGCCTTCTTTGTGCCATTCAGCTCGGAATAGATGAGGGTCTCTTTGAAAGGTTTCAATGAACCAGAGAGATTCGCATCCACATGAAAATATGTTGCCGGATAAATCTACATATCCAGATCCTTTCATGAAATGAGGTGGAAAGCTCGACTTATTGACTGAAGTGATTTCGTTATACGCCAGAAATAGATGTGTAAGTTTTTTCATGTTGTTAAAGACGCCTGGTTGTGCGTCTTTAATTGCGTTGGAGCTCAAATCAAGCTGAATGAGATGCTTAAGATGGCTAGAAATGGCTCTTGGGATGTGTTTAATTCTACAATCTCCTATATTTAACACCTTAAGATTGGCCAGGTTTGGGAATAAAGTATCATAGTGCACATCAAGTAAATTTGGGAATGAATTAGAATTTAAATTCAAGGATTGAAGTGAAGGGCATTTTAGAAAAATCTTAAGAGGAATTTCCTTTGACTTATTAAAATGGATATGGTTGTTTCGAAAGGAAATGTGTTGAAGAGTCGAGCTGTTGAGTGCTTCGTGTTCCACCTTCCTCAGGGTACATCCAATAGAAGACAGTCTGAGAGTTGTTAGAGATTTCAGACCAGAAAATTGATTATTCCATAACTCCAACAAGATGTTCCCATCCAAGATCAGCTCCCTTAAATTATCGAGGCAGTCATATTGGCTCTTGGACAAAACGCGTATATTGTTAAACATGATTTCTAGTCGAGTCAAATTTGGAAAGTGTGATGTTTTGTTTCGACACAGTTTAGGGAATTCTTCTAACCGATTGTAGTCGAAACAGAGACGTTGTATATCCTGTACATAGTCCGTTCTCATAATAGACATATGAGTTATGGAGTTTGCTCTCAGATTGAGATAAACGAGTCCTTTCAGTGGTTCAAATAATTCCACTTGATACATCTTTAGTTGGTTGTTGACAAGGCTGAGGGTGAGGTTGGGGGGATGAGCTGGAGGGAGGAAGAAATCTTGAGGGAATAACGTCACATCCATATGGCTGATAGTCAGACTCCTGATTGATACGTTCCCAAGGCTGGCGACAGCTGAAGCTAGTGAACCCATGCTTATGTTGTTACTGGAGAAAACTATTCTATCCAGGTTGAAGAAACTATTGAAGGCATCACTGGAGATGAAGGAAATACGGTTGGCGAACAAGAGCAGAGATCTCAAGCTGGACTTGGGTATGTTATGGAACATTTCTCCGGTCACATTGGTCAGGATATTTTGGTCTAATGTCAAATACAGGGGAAGGGACTTGTTGGGTGGCGTTGGGATGTGTGTGAAGTTACCACCTGAACAGTTCATATACACAGCATGGGTGGGATGTGGTCGACAGAGGCATTGTCTATTTGAGCACAGTTTCCATATCACGTCACCATCGACGCCGAGCAGCCCCAAGACACACACCAGGGCGACACTGGACTTTACCAGGAACATTTTTATCAGTTCAAGTTCCCCGCGAGGCCACCGACCTTCCTTGGGACGTCTTTGTTCAACTAGAAATTACGGATCTCTAACGTAGGATTTCCCTGTGTTGCGTGTGATATTGGTGCAGTTCTCCTACTCGGGAAGTTGATAGACCTCTTGAATCAAGTCTACAAAATAAAAGGCACGTTTTACTAAACAGTAATTTAGTGTCGTACCTAAATCGGAATTCAAACTTATAATTATTTTGTAGACTATAACGATTGACACATACATTAATCAACGGAGACTAATACTTTCTATTTAAGAAATTACTTATTCTACTGAGGGGCGGTCGGGTAGCCTAGTGGTTAAAGCGTTCGCTCGTCACGCCGAAGACCCGGGTTCGATTCCCGACATGGGTACAATGTGGGAAGCCCATTTCTGGTGTCCCCCGCCGTGATATTGCTGGAATATTGCTAAAAGCGGCGTAAAACCATACTCACTCACTCACTTATTCTACTGTCTAAATCCGAACAGTGAGCACACCGGTTTTACGTTTGTTTCTCCATAAATTATGATGCAGGTCTCAGACGTTTACCACTTGGGTGAAACCCACGAGCACGGGTATGGTGCTGACAAACCTAGAAACATACCGAGATTCGAACCCACAATCATTGGTTTCTGGTGTACCCAAGGGACGTAACTCTGCACAGCGAATCGCGGCGCCTTAGACGACTGGGCCACCCGAGCCCACCTATTCAACTAAGAATATAGTATGTCAAACTCGACTGTGGTGTCACCATTGTATATCTGTGGTGGCGTAATAGATACTACAGGACGTTTATGGTGTTCCTCGTTTTGATATTGCTGAAATACTGCTAAAAGCGGCGTAAAACCTCACTCACTCACTCACTGTGTCGGACAACAAGGCACGCCGCTTGTGAAGCACTACCGGGTACGATACAGGGCTTATAATCAATGTTATCAGATACAGGACACATGGGGTCCACTCGAAGTAGGAAGAACATCCTTGTAAATGGAAGAAAGATCGATAGATGCGATATTGCCGTCGTATGACAGGAGTGGGCTGCTTCAGTTAACAAACACACATTTGCCTGTGGCTGGGTCTACGTGTAAAGCAGGACACGTGTACCCTTTTTCGCGAACACCTCGTGTCACGGATTTTCAGTGATCCATGTATAGAGTTTTTATTACTTTGTTTTGCCTTCTACCGCCAATGGAATATATTTCGGCAGAACCAGCCTAGTGGTTAAAGCGTTCGCTCGTCATGCCGAAGACCCGGGTTCGATTCCCGACATGGGTACAATGTGTGAAGCCCATTTCTGGTGTCCCCCGCCGTGATATTGCTGGAATATTGCTAAAAGCGGCGTAAAACCATACTCACTCACTATTTCGGCAGATAATCGAGAATGATAATTCCAGGCGTTGATGTTTTGAACTCCAACATGGGACTACGGGGAAGTGGCTCCTTCAAGACAATGCAGCTGCAGGAGTCCGCTTCAGTGGGAAATCCCAAAATATACGAAAAACGGAATGGGTCTGGGAACGAAATATAGATCGATCACACATACCGTATTCGACGTAATAAGCGCCCTGGGCGCTCTCAAAATTAGGAACGGGGGCTCTTATTTGAATAATATTTTGATGAAAAAATAATTTGAAAGATAAATTTCGTGGTTTATGCTGACAGCATGAAATGTTTATGTACGACAGATATATTTTTTCAGAATTTAATTGCCCATAATTAAGGGTACATATAACACATGAGTGCGTATTATACGCGAAAAAATAAGTCTTGTGTACAGTGATCAATCGGAAGGGTGCCAATTGGGATTGTTCACAAGCCAATATATTATCATCGCCGTGGGCACTTATTAGAGCGGGGCGCTTATTACGTCGAATACGGTATACTTGAAGTCTGGCAATAAATTGTAAGTGATACAGATGCACAATTGCAGATGAATGGCTACGCCACTTTACGCGGAGTCTACGTCCATTTTTACCGCCATAAATGCAAAAAATAATATTAAAGTCAATTCTTAAATGAATAGGTATTTTCGGATGTGCGATATATCATTGATATAACCGTCGTTGGATATGTTGTGTATCATTGTGTAAATTAAAACACAAACAATTTACCATAGCGTACATATAGCGGAAGTGTTACGATCTTTCCTTGGTTGAAGTGTCTGTATCAAACATAAGGAATAAAGAACTGTGTGCATAAAACTGAAGTGGGGATTTCCCTTAATTGAAGTACTTTAGCCACACGATTCCTGCTAACAATATGGTTCGATTATGGAACACCGTTTTCTGTGAACTTTATGATAAATACTCTTTAAAACAACAGCGGATATTCGGAAATAACTTCATGTTTCCAAATTTTATAAAAATAGTTTCTAGTAATAGTTGTATGATAACGAACGAATTGGGAACACATTACAGCCGGCTGGTTGGTTGTTTAACGCCGCACTCAGCAATATTCCAGCTATACGACGGAAGTCTGTAAATAATCAAGTCTGGGCCGGACAATCCAGTGATTTATATTATGAGCATCGATCCACGCATTTGGGATCGATGACATGTATCAACCAAGTCAGCGAGCCTGGCCACCCGATGCCGTTAGTCGCCTTTTACGACAAGCATAGTCGCCTTTTATGGCAAGCACGGGCGTTGTCGGGCTGAAAGACAAACCGACGACCCAGACGCCTTGATTAAAGGACAACAAAGGGTTTCAGTATGTTGTATCGATGGTACTGTCCTGTGACCCTCCCTGGCACAATATGGGGTGTGGTTCGCCCAGTCACAGTTATGCCCACACTATAACCGATACACCATCGAATCAGCCATGAGTTCTCAGGTTGACATTGGTTTGACGTTCATTTCGACGTCGCCAGACACGACCACGCCTATCAAGGAAGTGCAAAGTGAGTCGGGACTCATCTGAATACATGACACGTGACGAGCGACGCTTGCCACATTTTCGGCGTTCTGTACGACGTCTGTTGGCAAAATGACGTTTTGTTTGGGGCGTCACAACACGTTGCCGTGGAGATGAACTGCACGTGGACGATTTCTAATCGTCTGACCCGTAACTCGTACTCCAATAGCCTGGTGAAAGATGGCAACAATTTGATTCGCCGTTTGAGCTGGATTTCGTTGAGCCTTGTTTGTCAATCGATCATGTTCTCTTGTTGTTGACCTGGGACGCCCTGAACGGGGTCGAACCTCGAACGGTGTTATCGAACGATGAAAACCTTTATTATACTGTAATAGAGTGATATTACAGTTTAATAAAGAAATTGTTAGCCATAAATAGTTCATTGTCTGTTAGTAAATCACAATTGTATGCTAAGCAGATTCAATAAGATTGACATAAATAATGGTTCACAGAGATTAATCGACCTTCCTTGAAAGTAAAGGACACACTACGCCAGCCTGGTTTCCTGGGTATGCTGCGCTGGCTCAGTGTGGCGCCAGCGCAACATACCCAGGGAACCAGGCTGACCCTACGCACGTATGTAGTGTCAGCTGGGCCCCGTCTCTAATAACAAAATATACCAGATTTATACTTTTCACAGGTGTGTCCCTCCCCTGTATCGGCATTAGCGTAGTGTTTTAAGTTTTGGCCTGTACCGGCTCCTAGCATGGCGTAGGTTGACGACGCGCATAGGGAGCCGGGAACCAGCTTAGTATGTAGTGCTGCTGCGTGAGGTACGAGAAAACTATTGGATGTGATTTGTTGTTAAGTTTAATACAGATATAAACGTTCTTGTTTGTCTACAACACTTATCTTTGTTCTAATACTTTCTATTACATTTACATTTCACGATCCCCCACTTTTGTTCAAGAGTAGACTTGAAGAAATAACAATGTTTATATTTCATCCAATGTCTCCCCCGAAGACGATTCACATGTTGATGTCCCTTTCACGTCCCAGTTTGATCAACAGCGTACATCGAACATTATTAAACCAAACCGCTTACCATGTCGGCAACAGGCGGTTAAGTGTTCGAACATCAGTCATACAGATAGAACCAGATTGAATGAGACAAAGCACGCGCATGCCTATCCGGTAGGATACACTTAATTCCTGGTACTACGTAGCTCTTACGTCTCATTGCTCTCATGGGCGAAACCGCAATCAGTGGTTCATATCAAGCTTCTCACAGCGATAGCCCGTTCGCGGAGGTCTCTATACTATATTACCGAGAGTGTAACGAAGGTGTTACGCGCTGGGAAGGAGCTTGGGTTCATATTGGGAAAGGGAGGTCACTCTTATTTGAATCGGGAGCTATCTCCGTTGTTTTCGTATTTGCGAGAAATGGCGTCAGTCACGTTGTGCGTTGTTATTGGTCGAGATTTTAAATGGCCATCTAATCCATAAGGTAAACCGTATTCTCAATTAAGTGTTTGAATACATGAGATCTATAAATATATCATTCCATCGGTACTCTTCGTAGTGCCGATAAAATGTGCGTCCACTTCCCCCCTGTCTTATCTAGTGATCGAAACAAGTGGGCCCGCATTTGTATATCGCCTAGCTTCGTTAGCTTTAACTAGTGCTGATAATCAATTCCTAAACGTGGACGGACTTTCTTCCGTCATAGCGATTGCAACAAGAGGCACCACATTTATAAATCGCGAAATTCCAATTATTGAATAACCATTTTCAAAAATGTGGGACCACATTGTTACCGTTCTATATGGTGATCAAAACAAGTGGACCCACATTTGTATATCGCCTAGCTTCATTAGGTTGCTCAGTTAGTGCTGAATATCAATTTCTAAATGTGGGCCCACTTTTTCTATCATAGTGACTGCAACAGGAGGGACCACATTTATAAATCGCTTAGCTTCACTAGCTTGGCTTAAGTACTTGTAACTATTTTCTAAATCGTGGGTCCACTTCTTCCGTCATATATTGTTCAAACAGGTGGGCCCACATTTGTAAATCACCGGGCTTCATTGGGTTGACTAAATCATTAAGTGGGCTCACATTTGTAAATATTTTGCATGGTTTTATAGCAATATATATTATTCTCTGATAATTCTCATATTGTAATATTGATGGGAAATGTCTTTGTAAATTACTAAGTGTGACGTTAATTCCACGAAAGGTACACAAAGTCTTTGAAGTTTGAATAACGTCATTATAGCTGACCACACTCGTTCCATAATAGTTTTACAAAAATAGTTACAAAGCTAGAAACTTAGATTAACTTCAAATTAAATTTACAGAGGCAATACCACTCATTCTACTTTTTTCCAGAATAACACATCAATCTAACCATAAGTGTCGGTGGCGATATGAGCCTGAAAATATGTCTGTACCTGAATCGAACTCGGATATGATACAAGCCTATTACCTCAATATCTTCCGAGATCTTGTTCCATAAAAGTAATATTAATGACCCCACGACCTAGTTTTGCGATGTTCGTGGAAGTTCTGCAGTACTGCCTACGCATTTGTACATTGTAATCCAATTATAAATCACAATACTTATTTTAAATAGACAAAATAGCAGTTCGTGATGCGGGTTTGTTTACGTAGTACATATTCTCAACAACAAATGCGTTTAGTTTCGAATGTGGGCCGACTTTCGTTAGCCCGCTTCTCGAATCACCTATAATGCGGTTTCCCTGGCCAATGCATAATCACCCGTAACATAAATACAGAATGTTGCCAACTTACGTGAAATGTTGACCGTAGACGGACGGGTATCTTCACAGGAGCGGACAACGTCTGTGCAACATCAGCGTGTGTAGTCACTGACAGGGCAGTGATGGTCACATCCACACGACTTCCGGGTGCACACCGTGAGTTATTTTGAACAAATTACAAGTTGTAACGTGTACGCTAATATTAGATTTCGGTTTCAGGGTCTTTTCCCGACCGTATGTTAAAATGGTTTTGCTCGAGAATAGCATGCATTGCTTGTGCATTGTCGTCAGTGAGTGCGTAAGTTGGGTTGGACGCCGCTTTAAACAGAATTTCACTTACATGTTGGTTGGTTGGTTGGTTTGTTGTTTAACGCCGCACTCAGCAATATTCCAGCTATATGACGGCGGTCTGTAAATAATCGAGTCTGGACCAGACAACCCAGTGATTAACATCATGAACATCGATCCACGCAATTAGGATCAATGACATGTATCAACCAAGTCAGCGAACCTGACCACCCGATCCCGTCAGTCGCCTTTTACGACAAGCATAGTCACCTTTTACGGCAAGCATGGGTTGCTGAAGACCTATTCTACCCTATCTTCCCGAGGCAAGTGAGTTAACTGGACTTTTAAATTCAGTTAACTCTCTTGCCTCGGGAAGATGATTCTACCCCGGAATCTTCACGGGTCCACTTACATGTAGACGAGTCATTAATGTACGAGAGGAGCCGTAGTGAAGCAGGTCGTCACCGTTTACCAGTATGGTAAAACCTATACGTACGGTGCTGATCATCTTACCGAGGCAAGGGCGTTAACTGACTATAAAAGTCTAGTATCCACCTTTGCCGAACAAGGCTGGACTTTCGGAGTTATATTTTGGCTGGACTA